GTTTTTAATGTTTATTTTTCGAGAGACAGAGAGACAAGAGTGTGGGCGGGGGAGGGGCAGAGAGAGAGGGAGTCATAAATTCCGAAGCAGGCTCCAGGCTCTGAGCTGTCAGCACAGAGCCCCATGTGGGGCTTGAATTCCTGAACTGTGAGATCCTGACCTGAGCTGAAGTCGGACTGAGCCACCCAAGCACCGCTGAACATTCTAAGAGCATTTAAATTAAACATGTAATAAAACACTTTTTGTTCTAGTGGTAGTTTTGCATGCGGTCACAATAAACATGGGAGGGAATAGGATTTCAGCATTATAAGGTTAAAAAAGTATATTCCAAAATAGCTTCATTGCTTTTTTCTAGTTTTTTGTGTAATTATGAAACTGGTTCATAAAAGACTGTACAGCTTGTATTCTTACATTAAACCTCAAACTTTTTTCAAAGTGGCGTTACCGTTTCTTGGTGTGCACGAAGACAACGCAAGCAGTTGAGGAAATTGCTAAGAAGTGTGTACTGGGGATGCTTTAGGAAGAGACTGAATGCCGAGGCGAGTTCCAGTCCAAAGGTGTTTAATTTACCAAGAAGAAAGTGAACATCATGGATCAGAACAACAGCCTGCCACCTTATGCTCAGGGCCTGGCCTCCCCTCAGGTAATACAACTGGAGGGAGGGTGTAGATGGGACAGAGTCTACACTGTTAGAGGCAGTAGAAAAAGAAAGGAAGGGAATTTAACCATCTGTCGTTGAAATTGATTTATCTGATTTTAAGCCTCTTACTTTGTTGAGACATTGTATTAGGCTTTGAGTAGGCTTGATAGTGTTAAATTTGAGGAGTTTATTTGGAAGTTAAAATAATATATTTGTTTGTAAATCTTAATCTTTTGATAAATGTTTATGAAAGTGTTCCATGTGACTATCGGGCCTTTGATTTTGAAAGTAACTTTTGCCAAGTTATTTTCTGTTTTTAGCATTTCTTTTTTATGTTTAAGGTTCCAAATAACATCTACTTTTAAAAAATTAACTCATGATAAGAACACCCACTTTAGGTGTGTTTTGATAATTGTGTACACCTGTGTGTATGCAACTGCTCTGCTGATCGAGAGCTGAAGATAGTTTTGCTTAGCCTAGAAAGTCATACAAATGGAACCATACCAGTATGTGCTTTTTTTGTGTATCTCTCTTCTTTGCCCAATATAGCATCTGTATATCAGCAGATTCCTTTTTATTGCCGAGTAGTACTCGATTGTATGGATGTACCACATCTTGTGTATCTACTCTCTCCTTGCTGACATTGTGGGTGTTTTCAGGTTGGGGATATTATGAATAAAGTTGCTGTAAACATTTGTGAACAGGCTTTGTGTAGACTGTTTCTGTCTCTCTTGGGTAAATACTTATGAGTGGGATTGCTAGGTCTGTGGTAAGTGTGTGTTTCACTTTATAAGAAACTGCCAGACCATACTCTAGGTCCACCAGCAGCAATGTGAGAGTTCTGCTTGCTGTACATCCTCACTGACACTCTAACTTTTAGCGATTCTAGTGGTTGCTTAGTGCTGTTTCTTTGTGATTTTAATTTGCATTGTCCTGATGACTAACAATCTTGAGAATCCTGTCAATGCTTATTGGCCAACTGCATTATTTTCATTTGTAGAATGTCCTTCACATCTTTCGCCCATTTTTTTAACTGGCTTATTTGTTTGTCTTTTATTGAATTGTAATTGTTCTTTGTGTATTCTGGATACAGGTCCTTTCTGAGATGTAGGTATTGTAGATATTTTCTCTCAGTCTGTGGTGTGGCTTACTTTTTAATTTCTTAATGATATCTTTCAAAGAGTAGAAGGTCTTAATTTTTCTCTGAAGTCCATTTACCAATTTTACTTCAGCGTCAGTGCTTCTGTGTCCTAAGAAATCTTGGTTAACCCAAAGTCTTAAGGATTTTCTCTTTCTGATAAAGTTTTAGCTTTTACATGTGTGCCTGTGATCCATTTTGAGTTCATTTGTATACGTGACATAAAGAAAGGCAGACCTTTCAAAACCTCACTCTTTTTGAAGTCACATAACCTGAATTTTTTCTAGCCAGTATTTTACAGATGTGAGTGATCAATGCAGTATGATCGTACCTATACTATCAGGGCTGCGGTGTATGTTTGACCCTCCTCCTCTCATACTCTTTCTGCCACTATGTTGATGAAACAATTTAACATAAACCTTAGACAATTTTGGTTTATGCTTTCTGCCAAATAAAGTGGTGGAAGTGGGAGAGGATTGTGGCTCCTTTTTGGATTTTGCACGCATTTGAGCATCTGACGAAAACTATGGATTCCTTGATGCAGAAATACTAGGTATACTTTGAAGAGGTTCACAGAGTCACTGCAAACTCTGCAGGCTCTATGGGCTCTGTAGAGTTGGTGCTGGGTGAGGGCATTAGACTGGCTCCCAGAAAAACTTGGCTGTCATTGTGGCTTCTCTGCTGGTGAGACCTGTGGTCTTGGGGAAGTCCTTTAGCTTCTCCTGGTGTCAGTTTTCTTGTCCTTAATGTGGGAAGAACATCGAGTTTTTCCTTTCCCAGAGGGCTGTGATGAGATAAATTAATTATATCATAAATTATATATTAATAAATATATTATTAAATTAAATTAATAAATGTGACAGTATCTGGAAGTTAAGCATTCAGAAAAATAAATTGATATTATTCTGATAGATGCATTGGATTTTCTTGATATAAACTTTTTGTATATGTGCTGCCGAAGCGAGCACGATATAAACTTTTTGGAGAGCAAATGATCCACGTTTTTGAATAGTATTCTAATAATTGTCGTCATTATTGTTGCTAACACTTCAGTATCTTCTGCGTGCCTGTCATCGTGTTGAATGGGTTCAGTGGCATCTCTGGGCTAACTATATAATTTATTAGGCAAACTTGGACAGATACATTGCGAGTGAAATGGGGAACTACCCAGGTAGTATGCCAGGATAATAGTTCAAAAGCATGGGCAGTCGCTCCAATTATGTCCTTTATACTTTCTAGCAGTATTAGAACATCGTCACCCTGTTGATGTGCCTGAACGGTTAAGCAACTTCCTTGAGTGTTCACATGTAATAAGTGGCAGGGTTGGATTTCACACCCGGGTATAATTCTAAATACCAGGCTCTTACCTACTGTGCTATGGTGAAGAAGAAAGTGACGTGTGTAAGGACAGCAAATGCCTTTCTGTTATGCATCATGACTCCATTTATATTCGGAAAGCATCTGTCTTTGTACGTCTCACCTCCTCTTCTACCAGACAGGTGCTGGAAACAATACCAGCTGGCCTGACTTACTGTCCTCCTGACCTTCCACAGGGTGCCATGACTCCTGGAATCCCCATCTTCAGTCCGATGATGCCTTACGGCACAGGACTGACTCCACAGCCTATTCAGAGCACCAACAGTCTGTCCATCTTGGAGGAGCAGCAGAGGCAGCAGCAGCAGCAGCAGCAGCAGCAGCAACAGGCGCAGCAGCAGCAGCAGCAGCAGCAGCAGGCTCAGCAGCAGCAGCAGCAGCAGGCAGTGGCGACCGTTCAGCAGTCAGCATCCCAGCAGGCGACGCAGGCGGCCTCGGGCCAGGCACCACAGCTCTTCCACTCACAGACTCTTACCACTGCACCCTTGCCGGGCACCACTCCCCTGTATCCCTCCCCCATGACCCCCATGACCCCCATTACCCCCGCCACGCCAGCCTCTGAGAGCTCTGGGATCGTGCCGCAGCTGCAGTGAGTAATTTGTGTCTTTCCCTCAACCCAGAAGGGCCCCTTGCGGCGGGTGCTGCTCTTCTTTGTTTCAGACGGATTGAGTTGTTGAGGGGGTGGCACTAGTGGTCATCGTATGTCTAAATTTGCTCTTGCTCTGTCTCCCACAGGAGAAAGGATGCAAAGTTGCCTCAGTGAGTCAGTTCCCTTAGTAAAAGGCTCTCATAACATCGCCTCATATTGGGTAGATTGGGTAGCTCGCGTTTATGTCCTTGGGCCAAGCTATCAAATTGTTGTAGACATTTCCCTGCAGCTGATTTGCTGAATCAAGCCTTACATGGTCTCTTTCCCTTTGATGTTTTCTTTGGGAAGGGAAGATTAGTTACTTAGTTCACAATGGTCCTTGTTTGTCTTCATTGGTTATTATAAGGGCTGCATATAACTCTTCGGAGAGCTGTGTCCTTTCCACAAGCTGAGAATGTCTGTTCTTGCCCTCAGTGGATTTTTCTGTATAAATTAAATGGGTCCTATATGTATCAGAATTGGACGCAGGGTGGAGGTAGGAAAAAAGTCCTGAAAAATACACCAGTATTCTCTTGTATCTATCAGTGTGAAGTACATAGCTTTTGCTTTTAGGAAGCATGGCCAAAGTGAAGGGTCATTTGCAATAATTAGTTCACCAGCCATCGCTGGTCATTTTTGTCACTAAGTAATATTTCATCGTAGATCCTGTTATCCAAATCTTGCCTCAGATTTTTGATCTGATGTGATTTTAAAAATCAGATGATTTTCATTTTAATACTTTAGAGAGATAATCCCTTGTTAGTTCACATTTTTCAGCAACATTCCCTGGTGTCTTGCTTGCTTGTCTGGCTTTTATGGCCATTTAAGTTTTTACCTCTTGTTTAAATCATAAGTTATAACCAGTTGTGATGGGGTGTTTGTTTCATCTTGGCACCTTAACCCTTCTGGTATTCCACAAAGCATCTAGTCAGACACGTTACTGAGTTTCCATATCCATTAAGAACCCTGGTAGGTTGGGAATTCAGTGGCCTCTAAATCCTACAAGCTTATGAAGACTTGGGATAGATAATCAGTGAAAATATATAAGAACACATTTTTAAGGGGCGCTTGGCTGGCTCAGTTGGAAGAGCATGCGACTCTTGATCTTGCGGTTGTGAGTTTGAGCCCCATGTTGGGTGTATAGATTATTTAAATTAGTAAACTTAAAGAAAATCATACATTTTTAAGAAGAATTCTGGGGAGGTGGCAGAGCCAAGAAAATCCCTGGACCGAATGGCTTTGGTGAACTCTACCAGACATTTAAAGAAGAACTAATACCAGTCCTCAAAGTTTTCTACAAAATCGAGGGAACATTTTTTAACTCATTCAGTGAGGCCAGCAGTACGCTGACACCAAAGCCAAAGATACTAAAAAGTCTACAGACTGGTATCCCCATTGATCATTGATAGAAAAATCCTTAAAAAAATACTAGGAAACATCATTAAGCAGCATGGTGTAAGATTATTCACCATGACCAAGTGGGATTTATTCTTAGAATGAAAGGGTAGATCAACATACAAAAATCAACCATTGGGGGCACCTGGGTGGCTCAGTCAGTTAAGCATTCTTTTTTTTTTTTTTTTATTTTTAAAAAAAAATTTTTTTTTTCAACGTTTATTTATTTTTGGGACAGAGAGAGACAGAGCATGAACGGGGGAGGGGCAGAGAGAGAGGGAGACACAGAATCGGAAACAGGCTCCAGGCTCTGAGCCATCAGCCCAGAGCCCGACGCGGGGCTCGAACTCACGGACCGCGAGATCGTGACCTGGCTGAAGTCGGACGAGTCAGTTAAGCATTCAATTCAATTTTGACTCAGGTCATGATCTCACTGTGAGTTCGAGCCCCTCATTGGGCTCTGTGCTGACAGCATGGACCCTTCTTGGGATCCTCTCTCTTCCTCTCTCTCTGCTCCTTCCCTGCTCATGCTCGCTCTCTGTCTCCCCCCCCCAAAGTAAATAACCTTAAAAAATCAACCACTGTAATATACCACAACAATAAAATGAAAACTGATACCTCAACTGATGCAGAAAAAGAATGGACAAAATTCAACACCCTTTCATGGTAAGAACACTCAACAAAATAGGAAAAGATGGAAACTGCCTTAACATAGTAAAAGCCATATTTAGAAAACCATAGCAAACCTAATACTTAACATTGAAAGACTTAATGCTTTTCCTCTATGATCAGGAACAAGGGAGGGACAACCTCTTTCTCCATCTCTTTCTTTTTTTCTTTTTTCTTTTTTCTTTACATTTATTTATTTTTGAGAGAGAGAGAGACAGAGAGAGACAGAGCACACATTGGGGAGGGGCAGAGAGAGAAGGAGACAGAATCCGAAGCAGGCTCCATGCTCTGAGCTGTCAGCACAGATCCCGACGCGGGGCTCGAACCCACAAACTGTGAGATCATGACCTGAGTTGAAGTCGGATGCTCAACTGGCTGAGCCACCCAGGCACCCCGCTCTTTCTCCATTTCTATTCAACATAGTACCAGAGCAAGACAAAAAAAGGGTATCTAGAGTAGAAAGGAAGAGATAAAATTATGTGTTGGCAGATGTTATGATCTTATATGTAGAAAATCGTAATGAGTCCACAAAAAAACCTGTTAGCTATAATAAGTGAGTTTATTTAGCAAAGTAGCAGGATACAAAGTTAACACTTGAAAATCAGTTGCATTTCTGTATATAGACAGTGAACAATATGAAAAGGAAATTACAGGTGTCCCTGGGTAGCTCAGTCGTCCTTGGGTAGCTCAGTCAATTAAGTGCCTGACTTCAGCTCAGATCGTGATCTCACGATTCGTGGGTTTGAACCCAGTGTTGGGCTCTGTGCTGACAGCTTAGAGCCTGGAGCCCACTTTGGATTCTGTGTCTCCCTCTCTCTCTATGCCCCTTCCCTGCTCACACTCTATCTCTCTTAAAAATAAACATTAAAAATTTTTTTTGAAAAGCAAATTACAAAAACAATTCTATTAACAAGATCAAAAAGGATAAAATACACTAAAACCTTGAATTGTGGGTGACTTGTTCTCTGCATGTTTCGCAAGATGAGCAAACATTTCTAATAAATTTTAACTTGACAAATGAGCAGTGTCTTGCAATACGAGTAGCACGTGATGCTGAACGTCACATGATCACAACCTAGCCAATGGTTCTTGAAATTTGCTTTGATATACAAGTGCTTTGGATTACAAGCATGTTTCTGGATTGAATTATGCTCTCAAACCAAGGTTTTGTTGTACTTAGGAATTAACCAAGGATGTGAAAGACGTATGATGAGAACTATAAAACATTGCTGAAAGAACTTTAAAAAAGACATGAAAAGTGGAAACACATCTCAGGTTCATGGATTAGAAGATTTAATATTGTCAAAATTTTAATATTGCCCAAAATGATCTATAGGTGCAGTGCAATTCCTATCAAAATCCCAATGATATTTTTTGCAGAAGTAGAAAAAATCATGCTAAAATTCAAATGGAATCCCAAGGAACTTTGAATGGCCAAAAACAATCCTGAAAAGGAAGAGCAAACCAGAGGGCTCTCACTTCCTAATTTCAGAACTTACTACGAAGTTTCAGCAATCAAAACTGTGGTATTGGCATAAACGCAGACATATAGACCAATGCAGTAGGATAGAGAGCCCAGAAATAACCCTTGCATATATGGTCAAATGATACTTGTCAAGGGTCCCAAGACTGTTCAATGGAGAAAAGATAGTGTTTTCAACTAATGGTGCTGGGACAACTGGATATCCACATGCAAAAGAATGAAGTTGGACCCGTAGCTAACACCAAATAAAAAACTAACTTAAAATAGATCAAAGACCTAAGTGTAAGACCTAAAACAATAAAACTCGGTGAAGAAAACATAGGACAAAAGCTTTGTGACATTGGACTTCACAATGTTTTCTCAGATGTGACACAAAGGCATGGGTAACAACAGAAAAAACATAAAGTAGACTACATGACAATTTTAAAACTTGTAAAAATTTTTTTTAAAAAGAAAACTTGTATACCAAAAGACACTGTTCACAGAATAAAAAGGCAACCAACAGGAAGGGAGAAAATGCATCCCATAAAGGATTATTATCTAGATACTTAGAGAACTACTGAAACTCAACAATGAAAACCAAAGAGCCTGATTCCAAAAATGGGCAAAGGACTTGAATAGACATTTTGCCAAAGAAAATACACAAATAGCCAATAAGCACATGAAAGGATGCTCAACGTCACTAAACATTATGTAAATGCAAGTCAAAACTACAATGAGACCACCACCTCATACCCATTAGGATGGCTATTATCAAAAATAGTATAACAAGTGTTGGGGATATGGAGAAATTTGAACCCTTATGCACTGTTGCTTAAGAAGAAAAAAATACATGTAGCAAATATGTGACTAAATTTGTGGTAGATGTACCACAACTTGATTATTTCTTAAGTAGAGAAATGCTAAAGGCAGGTGTGTATATAAAAGTAATTGGAAGGAAATAGGTGAGGTAGAAATGAAAACATTCATTGGGTTGATCATTTTTTTTTTCTAATGCTCATTTGTTTATTGAGTGAGAGAGAATCCCAAACAGGCTCCATGCTGCACTCGATCTCACGTACCGTGAGACCATGACCTGAGCCAAAATCAAGAGTCAGACACTCAACTGACTGAACCATGCAGGCACCCCTTGGGTTGATTATTCCAATTGGCCTTACAATTGTCTATTAAAGAACACAGCTTGGGGCACCTGTGTGGCTCAGTCAGTCTGGCGCCCGACTTCAGCTCAGGTCATGATCTCATAGTTTGTGAGTTTGAGCCCCATGTTGGGCTCTGTGCTGACAGCTCAGAGCCTGGAACCTGCTTCGGATTCTGTGTGTCCCTCTCTCTCTGCCCCTCCCCTGCTCATGCTCTGTCTCTGTCTCAAAAGTAAATGAACATTAAAAAAAAGTTAAAAGAGAAAAAAACACAGCTATCCTCTTATCCAACCCAGTTGTGAGCCATCAAGTTTTCAAACTGTTGCATTTTGACAGGACAGGAACCAAAAGCAGCAATGAGCTGGAAACAGCTGGAGATGTATTTGCAATCTGGAATCGGTATTCATACGACAGTGATGTCCCATGCCCGTGCATGATGGTTTATGGGCAATTAGTGTCATTCAAAGGGCAAATAAGGGCTTCGTTCAGAAGGCTAAGGCATGGCTCTGCAGATAGATGGACTCAAAGCCTGGCTACCACTTAGGAGCCGTGTTTATCTGGAGCAAGGATCCCATTTTATCTGGAGCAACCATGCCATTTAAGCCTCAGCTTCTGCATCTGAAGATGTGAATATTAATAGTTATTACTTCATAGTGCATTGTAAGTATTAAGTGGGGTAACCCATGTAAAATGCTCACCATGGTGTGTGGTAAACATTAATAAATGTCAACAATGTAAATTTTTTTTAATTTTAATTTTTATTTTTATTTAAAAAACTTTTTAATGTTTATTTATTTTTGAGAGAGAGAGGGAGGGAGAGAGAGGGAGAAAGAGAGACAGAGCATGAGTGGGGGAGGAGCAGAGAGAGAGGGAGACACAGAATCCGAAACAGGCTCCAGGCTCTGAGCTGTCAGCACAGAGCCCGACACGGGGCTCGAACTCACGAACCGTGAGATCGTGACCTGAGCTGAAGCCGGATGCTCAACTGACTGAGCCACCCAGGTGCCCCAATGTAAAATTTTTTTAATTAAAATTTAAACTGACCTAATTACATTGTTCTAGTAAAAGAATCAGATTTCTAGATAATTATCTAACACTTCATCCTGTAAAAGTTAAATGATCATGCTTTCTTTTCAAATTTCTTGCAGAAATATTGTATCTACGGTGAATCTTGGCTGTAAGCTTGACCTAAAGACCATTGCACTTCGTGCCCGAAATGCTGAATATAATCCCAAGGTCAGAGCAATTACAATGTATTTCAAATTATAATAATACAGGAATTTGTTGTTAAAGGTCCCTAGACCAAAACGTGTTATGCATAAGTTTGTTGATACCAACAAAATGAGGAATTAAAGAAAATTGTGTATTGTTTTTTATTGAGAGACCCTAGAATCACAGCAGTCTACAAGATAAAGTACTAAATTTATTTACCCATTGTGATGGGGATCCTGTGACATTAAAAAACAAAATATGTGGTATGATTTCATTTATGTTTTGAAAACCATATAGAATGGAATGATACGCTGTCTGGAATTTACTTGAAAATAAAACAATTAGAGAATTGGGGAAGGGCACATGGGTGAAACAAGATAGGCCAGAAGTTAATAATTGTTAGGGTTGGGTAATAATTACAGGGAGTTTATTATATTTTTCTATGTATAACTTTTAAACTTTATAATAAAAATATTATGGGGTAAAAATACCTATGATACTTTTTACATTAACATAAGCAGCCTGAGTACATGGTAAGGCTTTTGTCTCTGCATTGGTAGATAAGTTGTTTTTTAAAAAAATAGTAAATATTTGCATTCACAAACGGACGGACATTCTTCAAGGACTAGACAGACCAGGCCTCTGAGTGGAGATGATCGGATTGAAGAAGAGCTCTCGGGTAGGGCCCTGTAGAAGACAGTTCCCCTAAAGTGGGAGAATCTATTAGCGTGCTGTTTACTTTCATACATGGGGAACCACTGTTAAACTGGTTTCATTTAACAAAGGAAAAATAAGATTTTATATAAGAAAAAAAGAGAAGGCAGAAGGACACACTTGAGAATCTGAGTATTCTATTTGACAGGCTATCTGTGTCAGTGTCTGTGCCTCTCAGTTTTTCCAGATTACCGCCATATCCTTTACTGATGTCCCTTGTTCCCCCTTTGGTGAAACTCCCAGTCTAGGTTGCCCATGCGGATTTGACTCCTTTTCTTTTGTGGTGTCATTATTTGAATGTCATCTTGAAATAGTGTCCAAGTGGCAGCATGTAAGCTTACCTGGATGTTAGACAATGGAGAAATATCATAAGAAATAAGTGAAATTCACTTCATACATCCAGTATTTTTTAGTTTGCTTACACCTAACCAGAAGGATTAACTCCCCAAGAATCAGCTTGGTCAATTTTAGGAACGGAAAGTCTTTTTTCTCAACTTATTGATTGTTCTGTTATGTGCCTCCCTGCGCCCCCCAAGTATTTATCCCATTTGTTAACAGTTGTGCCAATACTACTTGGCCGGCCAATAAATAGTTGAGGACACTTTTATTATCTGGCTCTGTTTTAGCCAGTGAAGTTATGATAAAGCATTTGTTAGGTGAGTGGTTTCATTTGTTGTTTGAGCCACAATCCAGAAACTTCTGTTTTAGTTTGGGAACTCCTGGTCAGGGTAGAGATCTCATACACTGGGTGAAATCATGTTCTTGTACCACATTTTGTCAACAGCACAAAATGATTAAACACAAGGGGAAGAAGTGAGAAAGAACAGGCAGTATATATACCAAGTGTGTTGTCCTATCCTTGATTCCAAGCTCTTGGGAGGAAGCTGTATTTTCGGGAGTCATCACTTTCTGGAGGCCTTTTAGTAGATTCGGGGTCAATCTTCAGGCAGAACCCATGCCCAGTTGGATTCTGAGTACATGCAAACCGGGGAAGTTATCCATGTGTCTAATCCTGGTGCTTGAGAATGGTATTTCAGTTAGAGTCTCAAATGTTTTCTTCTACGCAGTTTGAAGCTGACTTTCACTGATAATCGCTTTCATGTTTCTGTCTGCTGCCTGTACATCACCTAGAGATGTGTGCGGTGATGTTTTCTTTAGAAACGTGGCTTACCCATAATGGGGCATGCGACTGTGTATACGACTGACATTGGTTTGACCAGGGCAGGTTTCCTATGCTATCCAAAAGTTTGCATTAAGTCACTTTGCTTTCATTAAAGACCTACATTAGTGCCTGTTTTTGCCAACGGAAAGAAATCTGAAGAGAATTTCTGCTTTTACAAAATGGTGATTGTTCCTCACTTTACTCCATTTGGGTTTATGAAAGGTTTCACAGGAACACTCTACTTTTCAGTAGCAGGGGAAACCTGTTTTTGACAAGACCAGGATATATCAAGGTTGGGACAGTTAGTGGGAGCCAGGCCAGTTTTCATGCATCTTTCAGGAACAGTGTCATAGGGTGAGAATTTGCAGGGATTTTGGGGTGTAACACCCTGTCATTAGGGCTAGGATTGTAGGCCAAGAAAAATAAAACTCTTTTTGGAAACTTGGACTGTTTTAGCGCTTGCCTTTTAACAAAGGAAAACTTCAGTCAACAGGAGAACTATGTACATACTATTAAACGGTGTATCTAAACTTTGGGCACTCAATCAAATCTAAGAGGAAGTTCAGAGCCTTGCCCTCTATTATGTGAGAACTGAAGATATGGCATTTCTCAGCAGCCTTTTGAACTTCTCAAGTTGAATATCCCCAATATTTTTGTAAAATTTGAATCAATGTACGTATTTGTTTTTTTTTTTTTTCAGTGTGGCTTTTTGTGTGTGTGTGCATATGCATAAGTATTAAAACTTGAGGATGACTTTGACACCCAACTATTTTGAGATATTTAAATAAAACAAAGAGAAAGACAATGACCAAGTTTCTGCCTCCCTCCTCAACCAGAAAAACTATATATATCATTGTGTCGTCATTGGCAGCTAACCCTAGTAAGAACTGCATGAGTTAGAGAAGCCATTTTCCTTAGAGTAGGCTGTACAATCAGAAATCTGATTGTACAGAAATCAGAAATCAGAAGTCTGATTTCTCTAATAAGTCATTAATTTATTTTTAATGTTTTAATTGGAGATAACCAAAGAAAATAGACAACTCTTATTGTCCTAATAACATAAACCCAAATCTTATTGAATGTTAATATTTACTCATGAACCTCTAGTAAGATAACTGTTTTAGTAGAATGAGCTTTTGTAACAGAATATATCTTATAACAACATTTAAAAGTTACGCTGTATCAATGTAAAAATATTAATGTAAAATATACCTTGATTATTTTAAATATATGAGTCGTTATTGAATGACTTATTCTAGCATGTATCATCAGAACAAAACAGAATGAAGTAGGTTTAGATTTATTTTCATAGTTTACTAAAATACGTTTTCTTAAGGAAAGGGAAGTAAAGTGGTTGGGTTTAGGTTGGACTAGTATTTAAGAGTTATATAGAAAGCAGACAAAATAATTTTGTAGAAGTGTAGGGGTATGTTTGTCAGCTGAACCAGGTAAGTTGGATAAATATATGTTAGCTGTACATTGAGAAAAAAGTTAAGTGATGGTCTTGGAGTGAGTTTCTAAATCTCTGTCTTTTATATACAAGTGAGAAAGACGTAGCCTAGGTAGAAATGTCCAAAATAAAAGTTGCTGTAATAACTGTCTAAGAAAGAAAATGACTCCTTTAGTTATTGAGACTTTTTGGTCTGCTTGGTTGAGCTAATTAAAATTTGGAGGACATCAAATATGGCTAATTATTTTAGAACCCTTTCTTTTTACAGTAAGAATAAATCTTTATGGGGCGCCTGGGTGGCGCAGTCGGTTAAGCGTCCGACTTCAGCCAGGTCACGATCTCGCGGTCCGTGAGTTCGAGCCCCGCGTCGGGCTCTGGGCTGATGGCTCAGAGCCTGGAGCCTGTTTCCGATTCTGTGTCTCCCTCTCTCTCTGTCCCTCCCCCGTTCATGCTCTGTCTCTCTCTGTCCCAAAAATAAATAAACGTTGAAAAAAAAAAATGTAGCAATCTGTACTTTAAAAAAAAAAAAAAAAAAAAAAAAAAA